GCCTTCCTCCGCCTGCTGGGCGCGCCGTTGCGGGTGAGCGGCTCGGGGAGCGGCGGGGGGGCGGGGGCTCGGGGGGGGAGGGGCCGCCGCGCGTGGGAAGGCGGCCCGGGGTGTCCTCTGGCAGGCGCTGGCCAGCGCTTCCGCCGGCCCCGCGCAGCTGCTTCCCGGGGTCCCTAGTTGAGCGACCCCGAGCGGAGCGGGTCGAGGGAGGCCAGTCGTGGAGCTCCGGCCTGGCTTGGGTAATGCCCGGCGCCCTCGGCGGGTCGGCGCCGGCCGCTCGGGGCCTTCGCCCCAAAGGAGCCGCGCGAGCTGAGTCCCCGCCGCCTTCCCTGCAATGGCCACGGGTTGGCTGAGGCGGCTGGGCGGCTTCTGTTCTGAGAGTCTCGGCTGACGCGCTCCGATCTTTTGCGCCTGTTGCTAAAAACAGCCGGGAACAAACAGGAAAGGCCTTATTTGCCGCGGGGCCCCCAGAGCGGCTCTTATCGCTGCCCGCTGAAGGGCTGGCCGAAGGGCTTCGAAGGGCCGCCTACCGGCGGAAGAAATGTTGGCCCCTCGAGACGGGGACAGAGCCCCAACTGCCTGCCCGGAGCTTCCGTGAAACGGAGAGATTTGAGGAGGCCCCGGGGGCAGAGCAGTCCCGGCCAAATGCGGCCTGAGCAGCTGGCCGTTTTTCTGGCCTCACCCAATGCACAAGATGGGGCTAAGAATGCAGGCAAGGAAATCGGAGGCAACTCCTAAGGCTCTTTGTTGCATTTGCTTGTTTTAGGTTTAACCTAAAAGGTTAGCTGCCGACACATAAGAAGACCATAGCAGGCAGACTTGGTTAGCCAGTCAGCTACTCCCAGTTGGGCTGGGCTCCTTGTGGCCACATGGTATCTCTTCAGTCAAACATGAGTCCGTCCATTAATCTTGGATGCTGTCCATCTGACTTATTCATTGACATCTCTTCCAACTTTTCTCAATCTTGCCAAGTGTAATTGTTTTTCTCTTAGTCCATCGTCCACTCCTCAACATGCCTGAGCTTTTGCGTGTTTGGCCCTCTGCGAGAGCAGCCAGGACATTTGATGGAGGACCAACAAACTGCTTGCAGATCCCAGGTCCTTAGTAGCTGCCACAAAATGAATCATTTGGAAGCATCTTAGTGCCTTCCTTTTGGTCATTCTTAATGCCCCATTTTCATAATTGGGCTTTCAGAGGCAGGCATTACATTGGAAAGATCATTGCTTTAGTCTTGATTGCATTCAGATACTTCAGTCTTTATTGAAACTTGGACAAAATATTGTGGATAATCAAAACTGAATGTATGAATGAAACTTCCATAATTCTGCATAGGTTTTCCCTAAAATTAATCTCTTCTTTATTTTTCTACCACATTCTCTATTCCTTTTTATGCAAGTTGTGTGCCGTTTCCATCTCTCCCATAAACTTAGAGATAATTAAATGTGCCTGTTGATATTTACCTCTATTTTTAAAAATATTTTACATTAACTTGACTTGTTCTACTTCCCATTTTTTACTTTCACAAGTCTTATTTCCTTTCTGTCAACTAAGTGGACGTGGCTTCATGTCTCCAAGTCTTCAGTTTTTAGCTTCCTGACATCATCTCCAGTTCTGAGTTATTAGACAGTAATATATTTATGATATATGAGTCGGGAGGGGGGGAGCGCCCATTGATGTCCCTTCTCTGTCCTTCTCTTCTGGCTGACCTTGTCTCTAAATTTGATACAGTAAGCAGGTTTGCTTTTTAAAAGGTCTCCAGAAGAGCAATTGAGGGCTCATTCCAATGTATTTCACATTCTGCCATGATTTGCACACCAAGTCTTGTGTGTTGTCATTGAGAGACAGATGAATTGTCAGCCCTATCTCAGCTTGCACTTCTCAGTAAAAATTTCCCTAGCCCAGACTTCTCCAGACTTGTTGCCGTAGATCTGTTAGCACTTTAACTGCCTCATCCTCACCATTCAGTTCAGTGTGTACTTTATCTGCACTGACATAATTACTTTATTATATCACTTATTATATCAAAAATTTATATATTCATATCAGAAATACAGACAGGAAAAACTGGAAAAAAAATTCTAAATGAATCACATATTTTATCAAATTTATTGGCTGCCCATCTTACCCCACGGAACTAGAATTAGTTAAACAAAAATACGGAATAAATGGGAATATTAAAATGCTACACAGCCTCTAAAGTACTTAAAAGCTGGATTACTAAACTGATCAACTAATAAATGTATGTAGTGCAGGACCAGGATTCTGGGATGTTGCCGGATCTCAGCAGGAGGAAAAGAGGTAACAGTCCAGCTGCTCAATGGGAAAGCCCTGGTGCTACTTCACGCTTTGCTATTTAGCAGGTGGCCTGTTACCTCTTTCCCTGCCTTTCCAGCACAGTCGCCTTCTCTTTCTACAGATGGGGCAGATTTCAGAGCAGTCTTTCCAACTTTAACTTTGCCTTTTTTGGCTCTTCTGTGTTCACCCTCCAGGATTCGTCCTTTGGCTGTAAATTTCCATTTGATCTCTATTTCCCCCTTTTTTTTTGGATATATTTTTATTCTTTTTAAACAAAACAACACATACAAAACAAAGCAAGAGAGGAAAGAGCAACTTTCCTCCATTTCATCAAGCATGTCG